TCTCTCTCTCTCTCGTGTTATAAATATTTCAAATTAATAGTCCGATGCTTTAATGTTATTTACATACAGCTAATAAAATGCAATAATGTTACTAGTATATTAATTAGTATAAATTAATTTTTAAAAATTTATTCAATTTGGAGAGAGAAAGAAGAGAGAGAGAGAGAGAGAGAGAGAGAGAGCATAGTTTATATAATGAATTACCAGACATTACGATAAGGTGTGAGAGATTGAAAGGCAGACACAAATAAAACACATACTTATATATGTTTACATCGCGTATACGTAAATGTAATTCTCTATATCCTATTATTTAAGTACTAATATTACGACAAATAGCAACAATGACGGATCAAGAAATGCCCAGGATGGTTTATAACCAGGCATTCTATAGATTCATCACGGACGTTGAATTAAACGAGCTATTTATAAACTCGCTCAGCCATCATCCATGCAATTATTTGTTACCAAGTTTAGAGGTTTGTATTTATGTTGTTTATTTATTTATATTGTTAATATAAATTATAAAATACTGTATTACATTTAATAGTTAGTTCATTTAACTAATTCAATTATAAATATAAGCATTTTTTATTAAATATTTAAAATTACTAATTAAATTATTAACTATTATTAACCAGAATTTGCAATTTACTCATAAGTTGATCGAGATACGGCTAATAATTACCTATCATAAAATATAGAATTATATAATAAAAAATTTTAGTTTTAAAACTAATATTAATAATCGTTAAAATAATACTATATTAATTGATAATTACTCTACTATTATAATCACTAATTATAAATAAATGATTTTAATAAATATTTTATAAATGATAGTTTTTTATTAATAATAGATTGTTTAGTAAATAAGATTAGTTACAATGTCATGTGTCTCTCTAATTAGCATGTTTATGTTACAATTAAAAGTAGAGATAAATATATAATTCATTATCAATTTGAGTTAATAATAAATAAACAAAGTTTTAAAAAATTATATAAATTTGTAAACAAAATAACATTTAATTATTTGTTTTAGAATTAAACAAAATGTAATCCCCTAATATACGATAATAATTAGCCAGTTTATTTTGAGATACTATATTAATTAATAAATTAGATTTATATATCGATAATTATCAAGGAAAAAACAATTTAATTTTAGTTTTAGTAACAAATAATTGATTAACCACACAAAATTAAAAAACACAATTATATATAAATGAATTAAAACAAAAAAGTCCCTTGTCTAGAACTATTCAAGCGACGAGGCCAAAAAGTGTCGCATATTCAGCGAGTTCATTTTGGTGCGCAACAACACCGAACTGTTGGCCCAGGCGTTAGAACAATGTGGCCAAGAGGGGGCCGCCGCACAATTGCGCGTGTTCAATCAATCGGAACGCGCGTGGTCATATTCGCACGACATATACCTGGGCGTAGTGCCCGCGCTCTCCCTGCGATCGGACACAACTAAGCAGTGCAAAATGGACGCCAACCCGCGTGGGGTGGCCCTGATATTTGTGAACGAGCCTACGCTCGAGCTCGAGGCCGCACGATTCGGGTCAATTTGCCACCAGCTGCTATTTGAGCCTGTGGTACACCACCGATTTACCAAGGCGCAAATTGTGGCCACATTGAGCGAGGTGGCCAAATCTAAATTGAAATACAGGGGCGACGCGTTTGTCATGATATACATCGGTCACGGCGTAAACGAACAGATCATCGGGTGGTCAGCGCAGCCGCAGTGGCCGCCGGCGCCGGCGGATGTGCTGCCCATCCGGGATATAGTAGACATGTTTTCCGGTGCCGGCCGTTAAGGCAAAAGATCAAACTGTTTGTATTCAACTGTTGTCGCGAAAGTATGGGTTTATTATTATAAAAGTAGTTACCATGGTGCAATTTTTTAAATTTTTTATTTTAACAGAAGAGGCGGCACAGGCCAACCCATTGCCCGGCGTTGTGCCCGTTAATACCGGTAGCGCGTGCGCAAAGTGTCAGGGTCGTCTGGTGTGTACGAAATGCGAGCCGGACAAGATCGACACGCTGGCCACACTCGATCCCAAGTGGAAAAATTTTAACAAACAAACTCACGTGATATACGCTTGCGCTGAGGGTATGTAACAAGCAAGATTAATTGCGTTAAATTCTATTTGTTGTATCACGATAGAAAATATTATATGGATTTACAATTAATATTATTTATAAATACTTTATTATTTTTAATAACTGTGTATTTTAAAAAATTTAATTTATGTAACTATTATCAGGATTAGAGTCGTGGTACGATCCAGTCGCTGGCCCTATCGGTCACGTGACTATATTCGGTCAGGCGCTCAGCCATACAATAGCGCAGTTCTCGTCGTATAAAAGTTTGTACGAGCTCTTTTTTATGGTCAGTATTATTTTTATCTAGTTTAAATAATTATTTAATTTTGTTTGTAATTTGTCGTTTGTAATATGTAGCATATAAATACACTTAAAATAATATGTAATTTTTATTGTAAAAGTATTGCTATTAAGAGTTTGTGTAAGGAACATCACCTTGGTGAATCAGATGAATACATGACTATCTAAATAAAACGTGATTTGATTTGTTGTGGTGTTTAGACCGTTAAGCGTTCGGAGGAAGAATTAATGAATCCCGAAGATCCAGATGACCAAGATGCCATCGAACGGAGACCGCAAATTAACATGTTTGCCGTGAATAAAGACCTTTTAATCCTGGTAAATGGATAGAGGACCAGAATGATTTCGCAATTTAATTATAATTTTATTTTTAAATTAATTACATTGTGGCAAAATTTAATATATAATTTTAGCACCTCTCAATTACAACAATTAATTATTAATTTTTACATTCTTGATAACTGAGCTTATTTAATCTTTAATCAGTAATTGATTGAATTTATATTTTGCATTGTATTTTATTTAATCTATTCAAGTTATCTTAAAATATTTAAATAATAAACTATAGTTTAAAAATATTGCTTGCAAAAGGGGATAGACTCTATTATCCGATAGAGTATTAAACAACTCTATAATCCTCTAATATTTACTTATAATATGTAAATAACTGTAAATATCTATAATACTAATTGTGCACTCGTTTAGTGAACGACACGTTAGGACTTTCTTTCGGAGTGATTGAGAACTGAAACTCGTATTCAAGCGATCGATCGGTTTTACGGTTGGCTTTGATATCGTATTTCTGAAGCAAAGAACTCAGATATAGAAACACTTCGACCACCGCTAAGCCCTCTCCCGGACACGACCTCTTCCCTAATCGACACAAACATTACAACACATGTCATCACTATTTGTATTATTATTTGCATTAAAGTCTGTCACAAACCGTATGAAAATGGGATCAAATGCTCCGGTTTTCTGAATGTTTTGAGATCTTCGCTGAGATGTCTTTCGGGCCTGAATTGCGATGGATTTTCCCATAGGTTTGGGTCGTTATCAATGGCCCAGAAGTTGGCCATAATGTGAGTGTCTTTTGGTATTTTGAATCCCGAGATTACCATATCTTTCGACGCACTGAAAGTTATCACAAATTATTATATAATTAGAGAGAGAGAGAGGGAGATGTAAATTTACTATCGTGGTAGATTAAGCGCTGTGACTGTCCTA